GAAAAGGAGCTGGTGGTAGTAATGTACCTGGGTTTCTCTGAAGGCATGAATATTTTAGGTGAGGTGATTTCTTTTCATTAGTTTCAGTCAGAGCAAAAAAAATGTGTTTATCATGTGCATGGTATTAATTGTGTACTTTAATGCTTTGCTCCTGAGATTTACTACAAAATTGATTATTATATGTGACCCTGGAGCACAAAACCAGTCTTAAGTCGCTGGGGTATGTTAGAGCAAAAAAAAATTAGTTTATCATGTGCATGGTATTAATTGTGTACTTTAATGCTTTGCTCCTGAGATTTACTACAAAATTAATGGTAACACTTTACAATAAGGTTCATTAGTTAAACATTAGTTAATGTATTAACTAACATGAACTAACCATGAGCAATACATTTGTTACTGTATTTACTAATCTACGCTAACGTTAGTTAATAAAAATACAGATGTTCATTGTTAGTTCATGTTAGTTCACAGTGCATTAACTAATGTTAACAAGATTTTAATAATGTATTAGTAAATGTTGAAATTAACATGAACAAAGATTAATAAACGCTGTATAAGTGCAGTTCATTATTAGTTCATGTTAACTAATGTAGTTAACTAATGAACCTTATTGTAAAGTGTTACCAAATTAATCATTATATGTGACCCTGGAGCACAAAACCAGTCTTAAGTCACTGGGATATATTTGTAGCAACAGCCAAAAATACGTTGTATGTGTCAAAATTATAGATTTTTCTTTTATGCCCAAAATTATTAGGATATTAAGTAAAGATCATGTTTCATGAAGATATTTTGTTAATTTCCTACTGTAAATATATTAAAACTTAATTTTTGATTAGTAATATGCACTGCTAAGAACTTCATTTGGACAACTTTAAAGGTGATTTTCTCAATATTTAGATTTTTTTGCACCCTCAGATTCCAGATTTTCTAATAGTTATATCTCGGCCAAATGTTGTCCTATCCTAACAAACATCATAACACATACATCAATGGAAAGCTTATTTCTTCAGCTTTCACATGATGTATAAATCTCAATTTCGAAAAATTGACCCTTATGACTGGTTTTGTGGTCCAGGGTCACATATATCAAAACGGTCATTAATCCATATGGAACAGAACCCAAACAGTAGCCATAAATGTTTCTAGAGAGCTTTTTTTTTGTACTTGTCACTGCATGTATCACTTGCATCAAGCCTCTCAGACATATTTTTTCAAACCATGGGTCAGCAGTTTGCTCCATTATATGTTGCTTCATAAAAGCCTAAAAAAAAAATTCCAACATGTTTTCAGATTAGTTTTGTTTGTGATTTGAGGTAAAAAAAAAAATAGACTCCGATCTGAAACCCTGCTTGCAGCTACACTATCCGTTGTGGTGTTAGTTTTTAGGAAAAGAAGAAATGCACTGGTACATTTGAAGACATTTCCAAATATAAGTTTTAAAGAAATTAATTTTAATTAATTTTATTCAGCATTGATGCATTAAATTGATCAGAGACAGTAAAGATGTATAATATTTCAGAAGATTTTTATTTCAAATAAATGCTGTACTTTTGAACTGAAAAAAAAACAAAACATAAAAATATATTACAAAAATATTAGGCAGAGCAACATTGATAATAATCAGAAATGTTTCCTGAGCAGCAAATCAGCATATTAGAATGATTTCTGAAGGATCACGTGACACTGAAGACTGGAGTAATGATGCTGAAAATTCAACTTTGATCACAGCAATAAATTACATTATAATAAAAAACTGTTTTATTAATATTTCACAATATGATTTGTTTACTGTATTTTTGATCAAATAAATGTAGCCTTGGTGAGAATAAGAGAGTTCTTTTAAAAACTTTAAAAAATCTAACCAACCGCAAACTTTTACATGGTAGTGTAGATGAAATTAAACAGTATTATAAGAAGGAAGTTTGGGAAAAGACTTTGTCCCTATTGTAAAAAAAATTCTCTTCCTTTTTAATTACTTGTCAGAGTGTCTTATTTTGTAGTCCTGCAGCAGAACTTCTTTCAGACTACTGAAGCCTCTTTCATCAGAGCAGAATCTCACCAGGGACTGTGATTGTGATAACTCGAATTGCACAGAAAAACCTACATTTGATCCAGACAAGTTCATAAAGAGCTGGAGAGGCTTTGGTTATTATTTTTATTTTTATTTCTTTTGAAAGTCGTAAGAAAGCTTATTGTGATAGAAACTGTTTGTCAACCTAGATTTTATTTATTGTTCAGTCCATATTGCCTGATGTGCATTATGGGAAAAAATGGTCCAGTGATCTATAATATTTCCTTCCACAGACTGACTCACAAGGTTTAGAAGATAACTGATATTCTTCACATTGAGACCATTGGCATCTCAACTGTTCCACCCGCCTGACCGCTGCTCACTGCTGTGAGATCCTAAACACATGCCTTGATACTTTTATTTCTTTAATTAATCACAGGATACATGAAACAAATAAACTGAAAAAGTCACTGAAGATTGATGTCACTAATAAAAACTGCAGTGATTTTACTGTAGGTTCAACAATTAAATCCCAGCGGACTTCTGTGAAGTCTTAGGTAGCGATGATACAAAGCCTGATTCGATAATACTTTTTTATTGAGCCGGTTTATTGAACCAAACCATCTGAATTCAACCTTTATCACATTAATAGGGGAAAGCAGGCAATGTGTAATCTCACAGAATCAATAGTTGATCCATGTACGCCCCGGCCAGCCGGGAATCACAGAGCCCTGACGTACGAATAGAAATATCCTGTCCTGGCTGGCGACGAGGAACCGGATGATTGATCTGGGTGTGGTTCCTGAGCTCAAATATCAGCCTGTTCCTATTTAGGGCCTGTGCTGTGTTAACGTGCTTCTGCTGTGATATCATCTTCAGATCCCCTTCAAGAACACTGACCATGAATCTGTTTAGTTGTTTTATGTGGGGTACTAGTTTTATCAGCTGTTGGTTTAGTGCGATGAAGATTTACTACACATGCTTCTTTATTTTTAATGCATGAACGTCATAAAAACACCCCAAAATCAAGAGGAAAATCATTTTAAAAATGTATTGTATAAATTTGATAAAATAATGTCATGTTGTGTATGTATATGTGTGTGTGTGTGTATATTGTTGTTGTGTATATATATGTGTGTGTGTGTGTATATATATATATATATATATATATATATATATATATATATTACATTTTATAATAATTTAAAGTTTATATATTTATAATATAATATTTATTTGATAAGTATTATTACCATTTTTGTTGTTGTTATATGTTTATATATATGTGTATATATATATATATATATATATCTATATATCCTAATTGTTTTTAGATTTGATCAATTTTTACGTTTATTTTTTATGAATTTTGTAAAAAAAAAAATATATATTCTATATTCATACATTTGAGATTAAAAAAATATCGGTATCGGTTGATATTGGTCAGTGCATTGGATTGTGTCATTTCCCCTATTTTTATTTTATTTATTATTTTTTGTTATTATTTTATTTTATTTATTTGTTTTTATTTGTTGTTTTTTACATTTATTTTTATGATATGTATTTGTTTATTTTGTAGAAAAATGACTTGTATCTGTTTTTGACAGGGTTTGCATGATTCACTGTAATGTTGTTTCTGAAGATGCTTTTTAAATGTCAGCTTATGGATCCCATTTAAATCCAGGACCACATACTCATCAGTCTGTGCACCTGGCATCTTTACTTCAAATATTTTTGCTCTGTAAGATCAGTTTCAGTTCAGGGTTTTTTATATGCACCTATTCTACTCTCCACCAACTTTATAAAATTAAACAGGTTAAACGTGTTGTTTTGTGTCCACACAAGAGGGCATCTGAAGGATGATGCATTACTGTCAAACCATTGTTAGAGCGTTGTATGTGAATACACATTGATTTTTGTCTGACTATGTTGTTGTCGTCCCCTGACAATTGCTAATTGCATTTTCATGCTCTATGAGTCACTCAGCAGTCGTTTACTGTGCTAGGTTAGAGACTGTGCTTATCGACAGTTAGCTGTCAGTGCTCTAACTCAGCCAGAATGAGGAGAAACAGACAGGCTGCTGAAATGATGAATATTGAGGGAGGGAAACTAAAGGTTTGAGAGGTCACAAGGCATTCTGTTTATCTGCTTGAATAATTAAGAGACTTTATTGTTTTGCCATCATTGCTGATACTGTATTGTGTATTTCAGTATGATAGGAACTGTAATTCCATATAAACACAACAGCATCTTTAATTGTTTAACTTTTATTTATAATGCTGTTTTCTGGCATTTGTGTGAGTATGTGGTTTTGTTTGTTTATTTAATTTGTAAAACAAACGTGTTTGCATTGGAAGAGATGTAATACTCTGGCATATAACCAAATTTTGTTACAACTGTTTTTATGTTGAGCTTTTATGATATAAAAAAAGTATATTCTATTTCATACATTTGGGATTTTAAAAAAAGTGTATCGGTATCGGTTGATATTGGACAGTGTATTGGATTGTCATTTCTCCTCTTTTTTTTATTTAATCAGTATTTACATTTATTTTTATGATATTTGTAAATTAAATCAGTCTGTTCTATTTCATAAATTTGGGATTTTACTAAATGTATCAGCATTGGTTGATATTGGAAAGTGCATTGGATTGTCTAATTTCCCCTATTTTATTATTATTTTATTTATTCTTTTTTTAATTCTATTTTATTAATTTGGAATTTTAAAAACGTGTCAGTATTGGTTGATATTGGACAATTTAATGTAATTATTTTATAATAATATTTTATTTTTTATTATATTTATTTTTTATCATTGTTTTTACCTCCATTTACTGCCAGCAATAAAGCTTTATTGGCACGATTAACAATTACAATTCTCAGAGCATAAGCTTCAGTATTGGAAGTCATACAGAATTAATAAGGAGAAGGAAATGAAGGGAAAATTGAAAGACTATAAATTCCCTCTCTCTTTCTTTTACAGGACACCGAGATTGCTGCAGACTGCAACCATGTAAGTACTCAAAAAGGCCTGCCTTTAATAATAATCATCATCAGCGTGCTTCATCATCGTCACAGCTCCACACATCTTTTAAGGTGATGTTCTCTGTTTACAAGACCCTCTGCGCGCACTCAATTCTTTCAGACCAATTCTTTGTAGGTTTACGAGAGAATGCATCAGTAGGATTTAGAGACCAGTAACATCAGAAATTAATTTGGAAAGAATAATGGCCTGATCACCATCTAATCATGGCTGCAGCCCTCAATTAATTTGGTGGGGTCCCAAGAGAGGTATCTGTTTCTGATCTCCTTCTCTAACATTCGTGGCTTTGATGTTCTCATTAAGGCCTCATTGCGAGACCTGGTCCACAAATCAGAGACGAAGAAAATTTAGGCATATGATTCAGGCCTGAGTCACCAATAATTATGATAAAGAAATTATTCTTGCTTTACTTGCTTACATTTATCAGCACTTTTAATCAGTGTCACTGTTAATGTGCAATTATATTACAGAGCTGTGGAGCGTGATACAGGAACTACAAGGTCATTTACTTCAACTGACACCTTTTTGTTTTGAAGAGAACGCTTCATTTTTCTCTCTGAAGTGAAATCAGTTGCTTTCTATTGAGCAGTTACTTCTTGCTCAAACCATAAAACGAACAAAGCATCTCTTCTTTGAACTGCATTGCCAGGCTTGACCTTGGTAAACTTCACGCCTCAACAAAACTAGAGGGTCTTTTGAAAGCACTGACTTGAAGGAATAGTTCACTTAAAAATTAAGATTGTCATTCCAAACCTGTACAACGTTTTTCTTTCAAAACACGAAAGGGAGAAATTGGGGACTGTAGACCGCGCTAATATTTTCAGTGCAGTTATAAACAGTGTTGGGGAAAGTTACTTTTAAAAGTAATGCATTACAATATTGCGTTACTCCATAAAAAAAGTAACTAATTACGTTACTTAGTTACTTTTTATGGAAAGTAATGCGTTACGTTACTTTTGCGTTACTTTAAAATCTGGACAGGGCTTGCTTGTTTGTTTTTAAAATAAAAAAGTAATCTGATTACGTAACTCGTGTTACTTGTAATGCGTTTACCCCCATCACTGCTTATAACCAATACGAACTGAAGCCTTCAAGCTTCAAAAAGTCATGCATATGCCTAGTGTGCTCTGTTTCAAGTCTTCTGAAGTCATACAATAGCTTTGTGTGAAAAATAGATTGAAATGTACATCTTTATTTGCTGATAATCATTCCTTACTGTGAGTTGAAACAGTCTGATTCATAAATGAACCATTCATACCTGTGAACTGAATCAAAAGATTCATTGAAAAGATGAATGAATTCACAAACATCAAAGTCACAATCATATTTCTAATAATGTTGCCTTTCTTTTTTCTAGCTGTTGTGGAACTACAAGTTGAATTTGACCACAGATCCGAAGTTTGAGTCCGTGGCGCTGGAAGTGTGTACGAGCACCATGTTAGAGGTCAGTTTCTGATATTGTTTAATAGTCAATTTACTTATGGTCCTTTGCGCTTCAATTCCTGAACAGTTCAAGCATGCGTTCAACTCGTGTGTACGTAAATGTTTTGTGATTTCAGTTAGGGCGGCACAATATTTTAAAATACAGTTGAAATTGAGGTATGACTTAGTGCTGTAATTACACCAAATACACAAAATAATGTTCTTTTTAGCAACATCATATGACCCCTTTAAATATATGTGCTGCAGATTTCAGGGTGATTTCAGTTCATGATATTAAATATGATATTTATTTCAACGATTCAAAATGGCTTGGTTCATTTACTGTGAATTAACATACTGAAAGACTGTTATTGTGAGCCGTGTATGTGTAAATGAAGAACGTGCCGCACTTTGTTTTGAAATATACAGATACAAAGACTGTACTTATATGGCAGCAAACAACCAAATTAAAAGATTGATGGTTTAAACTTTATGGTTTAAACTATGCTTTAAACTTTTGGAAATTATTTTTATTAAGTCTTTTTTTTTTTTTTTTTTTTTCGAGTACCATAGTGTTATTACAATATATTTATTAGTTTAGCGTTTTTACTTAATAATAATCAGCACAATAAAAAAATTGTTTTAATTATTTTATAGTCATATTTGAATCAGTCAAAAGCAATGGGAATGTGGGCAATGAAAACTCCAGTAGAAAGAGAATTTTCTTTAAAACTCTGTTCACTTTATGGTTGCTAAAATAGGTTTGAGTTGGTTCTTGTACAGAGTATACCTAACTATGAACATTCACATTTTTCAAGTTTTTTCAAAATCTTTGAGCCCTAAAAAGAGGGTTCACACTCAGAATTTTTTTATTTCATGTTATTATTTTCTATACACACTCCCAAAAAATCCCCCCAGTCATTTTAGAATGATTAATCCAAATATATCTATTGGTGAAAATTCCTGTATTTTTTTCATATTGCAATATATATTACAGAAAAAATGCCTTTCCCCCCCAATATCCTGCAGCCCTAATTTCAGTGCAGATGAACCGACGTCTACATTTGTAATGCAGTGTGATTTTTATATTTGACTGCACTCTGAGCTGCCATAATGTAATTAAAATGAATCTCAATAGACAAAGTTTCCCACTAACCTCTTCACACTTTCCCACTATCCTCTTCTCACGTGTGTGTGTGTGTGTGTGTGTGTGTGTGTGTGTGTGTGTGTGTGTGTTTTGATGCACATTTGTGGTTGAATACACAATTTAATTACCATTAGTGAAATTGCCTTGATATTAAATAAGGAATGTAAATTCTTCAACTTCATGTCTGTAGCATTGATCCTTGACTGCTCCATCTCACGGTTAATGAAAGGAGCCTTAATCCGTTTCTCAGCTGAAGGAGTGTGCAGATGAGGAGCGGGGGAAAGGCTATCTGATGCCCTGCCTGGTGGACCACCGTGCCAACATCACAGAACGCCAGTGTCATCAGTACATCACCAAGATGACCAGCATCATCTTCAGCGACTATCGGCTCATCTGCGGCTTTATGGACAAATGCAGAGAAGACATCAACACCCTGCAGTGTGGAAGCATCGCTGTCGGAGAAAAAGTATGCTTGCTTTCCAATAATAGCTGTGAACACTTTGACTGCTTGCCCACTTATAACCGCAAAGCGCTAGAATATCCCTTTGGGAAACCATAGGATGTTGGCTTGGTACCAGATGGCTCTGTGATGTAGTGACTCTGTCGTTCCCGAAATGTCCACATTCCTCCGGGCGTGCTGGAACATGGGCACCCGTTCACCGCACTTGCCTCGTTCCCCCGGGTGCACTCTGCTGAAATAAATTTTGAAAAGTTAACTTTAGACTTGTCTGTTTGTTGACTTAAAATAGCCTAAATAAGCTCAGACTGCCAAACATACAAGATGGCAAGTGAGGGAGCGAAGATTATATTTAGCTGCTTAGTGGGTTTACATATCTTTTAGATGTCTTTTAGATCACGGGTTATGCAGTAATTAGGTACTATTATATGAGTAACTGACAGCTCCTGTTCTGTAGTGCCTTTTGCCTTTAAATATCACTAGTTATTTTGTCATTAGGTTGCATGCCTTAAATTCTGACACTAAATTACTGCGAGTGGGCATTTGAATTATCATCATCAACACTATTTTACAGAGTTATTTGTTTACAGTCGCCTTGGATAGTGTTTTCTCCCGGACCTCAGGAAGTGTTAGTCGTTAAATGCAGGGGCATCACTTTAATTCACGAACCAATGATCTAAAATTGGCAACATTCTTTAGCAGACTTTTTTAGCAAACGTTTATTTATTTATTTATTATTTTTTTAAACATTTATTTATTTGCTATTTTATTTTGCTTTGATATATTTTATAATTTATTTTTATTTATTTATTTATTAGTTTTCCTTACTCTGCCAGTGTTGCTATATTGTTATTAACTAAAACTATTATTTTGAAATAAAGGTGAAAAAAAAAAATCAGATGAAAAACTTAAAAATGAATATTAGAAATGTTGCCTTAGGAACTAGATAAAATAATGTTATGTTGAAGTACTAAAATGACTAAAACTGAAATAAAAATAAATCCAAGCTAAATTGAAATGTTAAAAACAAAGCTAATAAAAATAACAAAAGCATATAAGACATTCCTAAACTTATTATAAATAAAATTTAAAACATATTAATTATATAATAATATTTTAAATATTTTATCAAAAATATATCAAATACAATTCTAAATAATAACAATAAATACTATAATAGAATATAAATAATACTAAAATAACACTGCTCTCTCCCTGCTCTTTTCAGTCTTTCCTATATAAAAAGCCAAAAAGCCCATAAAAAATTTAAAACAGTAAATTAAAAAAAGGAAAAAAAATAAACACTTTTACTTCACATTCTTTTTTTGTCTTGTATTCAAAAGCATCATTGTTAATTTATTTGGTTTTCAGATTCTTTGTAAAATATCTTGCTAGTTTACATTTTTACTTTGTGATAAATTTTTCCTTCCTTCCTTTTATCCCTTCAGTCTAACAGTCTATACCTGTTGTCCCAAAATAAACCCTACGCCAAGCTGTTCCGAGTCCCAAGGCCAAATATTATGTCATTTTTTCTTCTGGTTAGGACCCCCATTCCCAGGGTGAGGTGATTGCGTGCCTGGAGAGGGCGCTGGTCAGGGAGGCAGAGCAGAAGGATAATCAAATCAAGGACGAGTGCAAAAAGGCCATCATGCGAGTGGCCGAACTGTCAGCAGACGACTTCCACCTCGACCGCTACCTCTACTTCTCCTGCCGAGACGACCGGGAGCGCTTTTGTGAAAATGTATGTGTCAGCTTCTCTAATAGTTTCCTCTCATCCATCACGATAACGGCAACCTAATTTGCATACTGTTACTACTCACTACAAGTGTGTACTTTGCTGGAAGGGGGCGGGTTGATCACCTCCAATTGACCTGAATTGACCTGTCAGTGTCTAACATTTTATTTATTTATTTGTTTTTGGTTGCAGACCCAGGTGGGAGAGGGCAGAGTGTACAAATGCCTGTTCAACCATAAATTTGAGGAAGCAATGTCGGAAAAGGTGCGGCACATCTATAGTTACCAATACATTGAATTGAATACCACAGATTATGGGAAATAAACTGAAATTTAAGTTTTTTGTTTCTCAACCAAATCCGTGCAACAACATGTGCACAAAATGTCAGTGTGGGAGGAAAGTGTCTAATCCAAAGTCATAGTCTAGAGAGGAACCCACAGGAATGCTGGTGGTCAGTTTAGTGTATGTGTTTGTCCTGTCTGAGTGTCTGTGTACTTAATAAGCATCTCTGTCCACAGTGCAGAAACGCCCTGACCACTCGGCAAAAGCTCATTGCTCAAGATTATAAAGTCAGTTACTCCCTCGCAAAGGCCTGTAAGGCCGACGTACGCAAATATCATTGTAACCCAGACACCAGCATGCCTCGCGCCCGAGAGGCCAGGCTCTCCTTCCTCCTCCTCTGCCTGGAGTCTGCTGTTCACAGAGGTCTGTTAATATCATACTACAGTTGTACTCTGATATTGGCCAATATTATCTTTTTATTTTTCAGTATTCTTTGATATTGGATATTTCATTGTGCATGTTAATTTTTAATTCTAAACTCATTATTATCATTCATGTTATTATCACACAGTTATTATAAATGTTTACCTTTAGATTAGTACCATATATATATATATATATATATATATACTGTATATATAGGTACATCTCAATATATTAAGCCGTGGCAAATACTAAAGGTTTTATATTTTATTTTTCAGTATTGTTTGATATTGGGTTTTTAATTGTGCATGTTATTTTTTCTTTGATTATTATTCATTATTATTATTATTATTACCATATGATTATTATTCATATTTACATTTAGACTAGTACCATATTAGTAGAAGAACTAAATTCACTTACATCACAGGATTTATTTGGGTTGAGATACCATTCCTGTAGAAATTAATCCTCTTGACCTAATGCTTTGTTTAAAGCATCGATACAGTCTTTCTCTCACAGGCACCATATAAAACTGCAGTGGATTTAGAGGAGAGAGTCAAATCCAATTAAGTGTGCGTGAGGTGTAAATGTGTTACTCTTTTTCTAAGAGGAAGAAAGATGAACAGACATTCAAGCTGAAGAATACAACTAACAAAACTTTTTAGTTTTTTTTTAGTTTTTTATTTTCATTTCATTTATTTGGTTTCACGCGCGATTTTTTGCGCAGCTCGTCAGTGAACAACGGCTCTGTGTGATGGAGATTTACCGCTGATTACAGAACCGGCTTTTCTTTTCTTGAGACGAGGGGGGAAAAAAAACATGCCAGACCAGCATGTGGTGCTGTAATTCTGCCACAGAGATACACTAAAAACGGAGAAGACGACTTGGACTATGCGCATAAACCTTGCGCGCGGTATACAAACGAACATGGAACAATACATTTATTAATCTATGTTAATGTTAATTAATAAAAAGACAACCGTTCAGTGTTTGTTCATGTTTTTGTTGCTGTTACGTGACGTATCGGTGTCTAACTAGGGGCGAGATGTGGGCTGATGACGCCATCGTTTCAGAAAATATACGGATTCGCTGTCCACACGAAAACGCAAGGGCTGCGTTTTCTGATTTATCCACTCTGGGACCCGGTTTCAAAAAATATCGGTTTCACTCTCCCAAAACGCCGGATCCGTCTGGACGAAAAGGCTATACGATACAAAATTTATGCGTATACAGCTAAACGCGTCTCCGTGTGGACGGGGCCTTCATTTTAATTTATTTTATAATATTTGTTAAAAAATTTATAAATAAGAAAAGGCATTTATTTATTTGTTTGTTTGTTTATTTATTATATTTGTTAAATAATAATAATATACTATTAAATACTATATACTATTAAACAATTTATACTACTGTATACTATAAATAATGATAATCCATCTTTAAATGTGGGTTTTTCTAAAAATTTGCTCTCAATATCGGAATGTATATTAGATTGTACATGCAAATTTTCCTTATTTTTTCACTGAAATTACATTTGACTCCGTCTAACTCTTACTTACGGTGCATTTTTAAAACACTAATAATTTAAAAATACTGTTAAATGTAGTCTTTCGCAAATCTCAAAACTCAAAAATACTGTTCCTTATAATGTTGTAATGCCCAAATTCACTTGTCAGCTATTTTAGTTTTTAGTGTTTTATTTATTTCAAATAAAGAGTACAGAATTTTGACCATAACATGAAAATAATAATTGGCTTAATTGGCATATTGACTATAATTTTATTATTAAAAAAAATTCACGTCCAAAAAGCTATAGTGAGGTTTTTGCTTATTGATGCAGTTTAGAATGCAAAATAGAAAAGTGAATGAATGAATAGATTAATTATTGAAATATATATGCAAAATGCCATTAAAACACAAATTTGCCATTGCTTTTTGAAAAGATCATTCTTGCATTCATGTTATTTGGTGGATTAAATATATATATAAAAAAACATGTATTTGTGTGTTTGTAGGATTCTGTCTTGTTTAATGGAGCACCTTTACACAGAGAAGATGGTTCAGGACTGTGAACACCGTCTTCTGGAGCTGCAGTACTTCATTTCAAGAGACTGGAAGTAATCAACCTAACCTTTCCATTTCCTTTTTCCTTACCTGACCTTACCTGATGACTCAGACAAAATAAGACCCTTGAAACCCCCTCTTATGCTTTCAAGTTGATGTTTTCGAGTGTGTTTGTGTAGTAATAACGTTCGAATCCATTCAGTCAGTCGAGGTCGTCGTTGTACGTGTTTAATAGCTCAGCACTCGTCTGCAGTTAGATTTGCGTGCGTGATGCGACCTTCACTGTGTGTCTCTCTCATCTGTTCAGTTTGAAAAGGTTGCCCACACAGTGCCATTATAATAAAGCCTTTAGATGGTCATAACTTCATTCACAGCCCATTAGATTCAAGTGGCTTTTAATTAGAACAGTTTGAAGCAGCAATTTGGTTTGATGGTCCATTGTGACAGACTGCTGTGTGATGCTTTTTTTGTTACAGCCCTACAGACTGTTATTCTCTTCTCTACTGTGGACAATTTTATTTATTTATTATATGTAAACCTGTTTAGCATGCTGATTCGTGCAACTAACACTAAATGCGTTTACAGTTCAAAAGTTCGAGGTCGGTAAGATTAAAACAATTTTTTTGACAGAAGTCTCTAATGCGTCATCATCTGAAAACTGAATACATAAGCGTTCCATTGATGTATGGTTTGTTAGGATAGGACAACATTTGGTCGAGATACAACTATTTGAAAATCTGGAATCTGAGGGTGCAAAAAAATCGAAATATTGAGAAAATCACCTTTAAAGTTGTCTAAATGAAGTTCTTAGAAATGCATATTACTAATCAAAAATTAAGTTTTAATATATTTACAGTAGGAAATTTACAAAATATCTTCATGGAACATGATCTTTACATAATATCCTAATTATTTTTGGCATAAAAGAAAAATCAATAATTTTGACCCATGCAATGTATTTTTGGCTATTGCTACAAATATATCCCAGTGACTTAAGACTAGTTTTGTGGTCCAGGGTCACAATTTAAAATACCAGTTTTCTATTTGAATATATTTTAAAATGTAATTTATTCCTGTGATCAAAGCTGAATTTTCAGCATCATTACTCCAGTCTTCAGTGTCACATGATCCTTCAGAAATCATTCTAATATGCTGATTTGCTGCTTAAGAAACATTTATCATTATTATTACGAATGTTGAAAACAGTCGTGTTGCTTAATATTTTTGTTGAAACCAAAACATTTAAACCAAAAAATATATGTTTTAATTATTCTTTGATGAATTGTTCAAAAGAACAGCATTTATTTGTAAAATAAATCTTGTGTAACATTATAAATTTTTTTACTGTCACTTTTGATCAATTTAATGCTTATTTGCTGAATACAAGCATTAATTTCTTCTTAAAAAACTCTCTATATAGTTATGATGAAGGATTGATTTCCAGTATATACACAATTCTACTTTCTATTTTGCATCACAAGGTCAGAGGTTGAGGTTAAAATCCGGTTAGACATGTGACTCATTTTTGTCTCCTGTGTATCCTTTCCTCCAGGCTTGATCCAATCTTATACCGTAAATGTCAGAACGACGCGTCCAGACTGTGTTACACACCGGGTTGGAATGAGAGCAGTGAGCTCATGCCTCCTGGTGCTGTGTTTTCCTGCCTTTACCGCCACGCTTACCGGACAGAAGAGCAGGGCAGACGGGTGAGAAGCACAAATAATTCTCATTGGACACACTGAAGAGACCATCAGCATGAAGTTTGGTCCACTTTACAGTTTATTCTGACTAGGAACTACCCACTTAGATGTGGCGTATAGAAAAGTCAACAGTTTGATCACTTTATATGAGACAACAAGCATGTAGAATGGAGAGCATGTGAATTTGGATCAAGCCATTGAATTTGTATGTCAAAATAGACGATTGGAATGATATTGTGTCAAGATATTCAATAGTAATGTGGAAAAAAATTCTTCCAATGTGCAGCTCACCAGGGACTGTAAGGTGGAAGTCCAGAGAATTCTTCACCAGAGAGCTCTGGATGTGAAGTTGGACCCTGAGCTCCAGAAACGCTGCATGACTGACCTGGGCAAATGGTGCAGTGAGAAGACAGACACTGGACAGGTAAAAAAATGAGTTTTGGGTTGAAACTCCTCAGTATTGCAGGAGTGTCAGTACATGAGGAACATTTCTAGGTCAGGGATTCAGAGTTTTTGTCTGCCTCAGGAGCTGGAGTGTCTTCAGGACCATCTTGAGGAGCTGGTGTCAAACTGCAGAGACGTGGTGGGCAACCTGACAGAACTGGAATCTGAGGTTTGTTTCCTATTCCACACCACAGCGTGTACATGAAAACATAAAAGATGAGGGCGTAAAAGAAGATGGCATCTTCTGTACCGTTTTATTTCTGTTATAGTTACTGTTTTGTTGTACTGTTTACTGTTTATATATATTAACTTTGAAAAGTTTGGGGTCAGTAAGTAATTTTTTTAATACTTTTATTCAGCAAGGATGCATTAAGCATTGATCAACAGTGACAGTAAAGACACTTATGTTACAAATTTCAATTTCAAGTAAATGCTGTTCTTTTGAAATGTATATTCATCAAAGAATCCTGAAAAAAATTTATCAAAGATAAATTTGTTTTCCAAATGGATAATAGTAAATGTTTAGAATTAGAATGATTTCTGAAGGATCATGTGACACAAAAGACTGGGGTAATGGCTGCTGAAAATTCAGCTTTGCATCACAGGAATAAATTACATTTTTAATTACAGTAGAATAGAAAATAGTTCTTTTAAATTGAAATAATATTTCACAATATTACTGTTTTTACTGTATTTTTTATCAAATAAATGTAGCCTTGGTGAGCAGAAGAGACTTCCTTAAATATATTAAAATATCTTACATTTAAGATTTTAATATTAAAATATCTTATATTTAATTATATAGAATTTTAGAATTTAGGGATTTTTTGGGAGAAATGATCTTGATTTATGGTCATTCTGTTGTGTTCACAGGACATTCAGATTGAAGCCCTGCTGATCCGAGCCTGTGAACCGGTCATCCAGAGCCACTGCCACGTTAGTACTGGCAACACACACATCGAATTATTCCCTTTATTTTTTTTTTAACTCTGAATTCCTTATGTGGGTCTCTTTCCTCCCAGGATGTAGCTGATAATCAGATAGACACAGGGAATCTTCTGGAATGCCTGGTGCAGAACAAACATCAGAGGGAAATGAATGATAAATGTACTGTGGGCGTCACTCATTTCCAACTGGTAAGCCAGTCACATTGTTAAATTTAACTGATGACAAGGAAAAGTTTTCCCAAATGTCATGCTGTCCCAGCAGAGAGCATACTGAATGGTTTTGGGTTGGTTTGGGGTATTGATGAATATGTTGACTATGCTAATTATCGGCTGATATTGTGAAAATCAGATGCTACTATGATTGTTATTATAGTTAAATAAAACGAATACCGAGACTTTTCAGACGCGCACTCCAACTCTGCCTCAGCGTCAGGCGCTACTCAAACAACCGCGGAAAAGCTGCAGGTGACGAGGGAGCTTGAGTAGAACAACAGTGAACTGCGGTCAGATGAGATGTTGTCAGGCCATATGTCAGTAAAAACTAATTTTTCTGTCCTGTCAGCCGTTATACTGTCATCGTAGCACGTGCTCTTCAATTGCACACACAAATGCAGTGGCGCGCACTGTACACAATTTCATATTATAGCGCAAATGAAAATGCGAGCATGCAATGTTGTAGTTATGTCGTCAGTTAAGTCATAAAGTTACCAAAAAGCCGATTAAAGCTGCCTTAAAACTGTGCATGTATGTAAGTATTTGTTATGTATGAGTCAGATTTAAGAACATGTCTCTGAAATACAGTGGTTTTCAAAACTGTCCTGGAGCAGCAGCACTGTCTCCCTCATCTAACACACCTGATTCAACTCGCCAGCTCATTAGCAGAGGAAAGATAAAGAGTTGTGAGAAAATACGATGTGTGGCAGATCATGTTCAGCAGTGGCAGCTCTTAAAGAAGCCATAATAATCTAATAACCCAGCTGCTGTGATGTCTGTTCATCAAAGAACAAAAAAAGAGCAAATCAATCACTTTTGTAGCTTTAAGGAGTCGTCGATATTTAAAGGGTTCATATGATGCGATTTCAATTTTTCCTTTCTCTTTGGAGTCTTACAAGCTCTTGGTCTCAAATCCAAAGAGATATTCTTTATAAAAGTTAAGAGTCAACCACGCCTACCTAAAACGGCTCGTTCGAACATGCCCCCACATGTCTACGTCACGATGTGGGAAGATTTGCATAACGCCGCCCAAATGTTCACGCGTAACTTTTATTCTCGCTGTAGTATTGTTGTTGCAGCCGCCGCCATGTCGTGAAGGCGCTGTGTTTCGTTGTGAAAGCGAAACTACTTTGTTTGGTCTTCCAAAAGAGGATGATATCCGCTTCGTCATGCCTGGAGCTGATCCGTGCTGGTCGCTGAGGAAATACATCAACTTCGTGCTGTGGATCGCCGGATCGGCTTTCACCGTGGACGAAGCGGAGTCCAGCCCGGGGTCGTCACAAGTGGTTGCCGCAAGCCCGCCGGACGCTCCTTCGTCGAATCCGCCGGCCGCGCCGTTCATATGTGTATATGTACTAACCAACAGTTCATGTACGCTTTGAGATATGGGATGTATTTTTTTATGTCAAGTGTATTTTTACTTGTCTACCCTTCAGGTTCAGATGAAGGACTTCCGCTTCTCCTACAAGTTCAAAATGGCCTGTAAAGAGGACGTACTCAAACTCTGTCCCAACATTAAGAAGAAGTGAGCAGCTGTTTCTTCAGGCTTTGCAAAGTTCTTGAATGACAAGTTTTGATTTTGTCATTCAATTTTGATGGTGATTTATTTGTTATATAACATCTTTTCATAGAGGCTTAAATCATCACGGCCTGTTTGTGTGTCTCTTCTTATTTTGGCACTGGTGCACTCTTTCTCGCTCACACAAATCCATCCTCTTGAACCGCATATTTCTTATCCTCTGCCTCAGTGTCTCTTTCACCCTCTTCATGTGTCATCTCGTGTTTCTTCCACCTCAGGGCGGATGTGGTCATCTGTTTGAGCACCACGGTGAGGAACGACACCCTACAGGATGTGAAAGATCAGCGTGTGTCTCTCAAATGTCGGAAACAGCTGAGGGTGGAAGAGCTAGAGATGGTGAATTCACTTTACTCAAGTTCAATCACACACTCCACTGTGTTCAGACCATTTTTCCTGTACAACAAAAGTGCACTGTAATTTATTCGATCAAGGACCTAAAAGTACCATTAAAATTTCAGAAAACTTTTTCATATGACTCGTGCGCTGTATTCCACGTCTTCTGAAGTTCAGATGTCACGCTCTCTGTCCTCTTCATTTGCAGTCAGAGGACATTCGACTGGAACCTGAGATGTATGATGCTTGTAAGAAGGATATCAACAAGTTTTGTTCCTCTGTTGCCTATGGAAACGCTCAGGTAACCGTTTATTTTGATCTTTTACTTTTATATAGAAAGCTATACCTGCAGCTGCATGATGAAACTTGTCCAGTTAGAGCAAGAAGATTCATATAACTAGTTTCCCACAGTCATGGGACACCTGGAAATAGTAGAAAATCTTAAAAATTGAGATTTCCAGGTCATCAAAAAGTTTGTAACACATAACTGTGCTCTGCACAGGGGCTGGAAAAGGCAAGTCCTTTTTTGAACCACTACCGTTTTTATTTACAGAAACAAAAAAAAATTTAATTCCAGAATTTTCATTAATTGAGTGTTCTTTATATTTTTGTTACCAATGAATTTACATGACTTTTATTTGTAAATATGGGGATTGCTTTAAAAAATTGCTGTTCACAAATAGCAATATTGTCCCGATAACATATCTTAGAATTTGACAAAACTAGAATAAGTTATACATTTTAGGAATTTCCATGATTTTTTAAAAAGATTTTATTAATTTCAATGCTGTTTCCAGGTCTAGAAATCACTTTTTTAAAATTCGCACACATGCCCGTGTTCATATATAAAAATGATAGAATTAAGAATTAGAATTAAGAAATGTCAGCTTACATTTTGATTTTTGTCTGTTCTAGCTTATTTTAAAGCTTGTTTTGTCTTATTTGTATTAATTTCATCCCATCTTGAGTTCCACTTAAATATATACACAGTTGATTTTTTTAATTTTAAATTAAAATTAAGTATTGGTACCTAAAATAGATATCTAAAATACAGAGTGATCATGAAAGACTGGAAAAGTTGTGGAAATTCATTGGTCAAATGTGGAAATCCCTGCATTACAGTCTGATAATTTAAACCACATGCAAAATACAAAAATGTTGTATTGTAATACATGTTATACAAAGTAGGATAGGATTTTCCTTGCTTTTTATGGAAATACATTTTCAGTGTGTAACGCTCTCAGCTTTCTCACCCAGGCCATTAAAAACCTAGCTATAAAAATGATTCAGCCATAAATCATGTTGACACAACCATGAGCACATTAACATATGATCACACATGTTTACATACAGTAATTGCACTTATTCAGTAGTCGGCAACCTGGCAGGGTCCTGTTTAGTCATGTAACAGCTTAGGTTAGCTTAAAAAATAGTAATGCAATAAAATATTAATGCATTTAATAATGCACTCTGACCTACATGAAAATTCCGTCATTTTCCTACCTTCACCACAATTCCAGCTTTAACTACCACCTATGAATTGCATGGAAAATGTGTAGAGCTGTCAGTTTATAGTGTTAATTTAGTGTGATTATTATTTAATTAAAAATGAGATGAAAATTACAGGCCTCTCTCATCTTTTTAAGTAGGAGAACTTGCACAATTGGTGGCTGACTAAATACTTTTTTTCCCCACTGTATGTGACCTGATGCCTATACACAAGAAACCTCGATTAACCTTAACTTGACAGCGCAAGTGAAAAAATAAAATGCTGCAGCAAAGTAGCCCTGTTAACTAACTATTGGAGAAGACCTTCATCACCCCTTCGTTTTTCATCTGTATCTGTCCTCTTCTTCTCAGATCATTGAGTGTCTCAAAGAGAACAAGAAGCAGCTTTCCCAGGTTTGTCATCAGAAGATCTTTAAGCTTCAGGAAACTGAAATGATGGATCCGGAGCTGGACTATCAGCTCATGAGAGTGTGCAAGCAGATGATCAAGGTGAGATGTTTTAGCAGGTGACTAACTTGGGGCAAGTTCTGCAGTTCCCTTTGGTCATATGCTGACATTATCTAAAGCTTTTCTGTCAAACAGAACGATCTGATGGTTATAAACATGCTCTGGATTGTCAAAGATCAATAGTAATAGCTTAAGCCCCATGTTTTAATTAACTTAAACTCAATAAGATCAACTCGGGGCCAGAGTGAAGTGGTTGATAGATCGGAACTGATTTGGAAAAGAGTATTAAACATTGAACCCACATAACCTTGTCTTTAAGTGAAACAGGATGCTATTAACAAATACACTAATGTTGAAAAGTTTGGGATCAGTACGATTTTTGTTTTGAAAGAAATTAATACATTTATTCAGCAAGGACACAAAGTTGATCAAAAGTGACAGTAAAGACTTTTATGATGTTACGAAAGATGTCTAGATGTCTAGTAAATACTGGTCTTATTGTATTATTATTGTTGTTATTATTAATCAAATCAGCATATTAGAATGATTTCTGAAGGGTCATGTGACACTGAATACTGGAGTAATGATGCTGAAAATTCAGCTTTGTCATCACAAGAATAAATTTCAGTTTTGAATATATTCAAATAAAAGAAACCGTTATTTTAGGTTGTAATAGCATTTATTAATATCAGTAGCAAATGCAACATTGGTGTTCAAGAAACATGAAAAAATGTACCAACCCCAAACTTTTGAGCATTAGTGTAGTTTAAGAAAGGAATATTTTTACATTGAGCAGTTTTATGTCACATTACATCACTAAAGAGCAGTGGTGTGATGTAGCGGTAAAAGCTGAAGGCTTATAATCTCAAACTTGCCAAAATGACCGAGCCATTAGCTATCACTATTTTGCCCTTGAGTACAGACATTGTAGAGGGATTGAATCTGCCTTATTTGGAAGTCATTTTTGCTGAAGGCACATGCTAAATGACTGTATACTTGCTTTCCAACGAGTCTGTAAGCTTCTATATGTTTCCCATAGATCTGTGCAGTCAGTAGTTAAGTCTGTTTCTCCTTTTCTGTCTTTCTCAACCTATTTGTCCTTGGTTTAGCGTTTTTGCACAGAGTCGGATGCTAAGAACGTGCTACAGTGTCTAAAACTGAACAAGAACAGCGAGCTAATGGATCCCAAGTGTAAGCAGATGATCACCAAGAGACAAATCACTCAGAACACAGGTGAAGACCAAACACATCTGAACCAAAAAATGCCTTCATTTCCACTTAACTAGTTGGTTAATTTGGGGCTTTGTCATCTATAGCTCTCTTTTTGTTTCTGAAACTCTTCCGCAAGTTCTGTTTTAAGGCTAGTCTTTACCTCCTGGCATTGAATCTAACATTTTTAACACTTTTCTTGAAGTATCTTTGAATGATTTCAGCTTCTTCTGTAATGCTAGAGTTGTCATTTCTTTGCTGTATTGGTGTTTTCAGACTACAGATTGAACCCAGTGTTGAGGAAGGCTTGTAAATCAGACATTCCCAAGTTCTGTCAAAGCATTCTCGGCAAAGCCAGTGACGCCAACGAACTGGAGGGTCAAGTCATATCCTGCCTCAAACTCAAGTATGCAGACCAGGTATGCATGTCACTGACTCAGCAGTGCCACAAACTGATCACCTCCATGCCACGCCGAATTGAGGCAGTAATTAAAGCAAAAGGAGCCCCTACCAAGTATTGAGTACATGTACAGTAAATGAACATACTTTCCAGAAGGCCAACAATTCACTAAAAATGTTTTTTTTATTGGTCTTATGAAGTATTCTAATTTGTTGAGATAGTGAATTGGTGGGTTTTTGTTAAATGTGAGCCAAAATCATCACAATTAAAAGAACCAAAGACTTAAACTACTTCAGTCTGTGTGCATTGAATTTATTTAATACACAAGTTTCACAATTTGAGTTGAATTACTGAAATAAATGAACTTTTCCACAACATTCTAATTTATTGAGATGCACCTGTATTAGCAATGAATAAGTAGGGGATAATAAAAGTTATAGTCTTGTATCATATTGAAGAGGTTTATGTTGTGATAATGGCCATCTGACTGATATTATCCTGCTTATTGTACTACTTACCTATATCAGTGTTGTTACTGTTAAAATTGCTGTTGGTAATTGAAATAAAACTGAACTTAACTAAAACGGAAATTAGAAGTGTTGCCTAAATATTGTGCAACAATTCACTAAAACTGAATTAAAAATAAAGTTATACAGAAATAATAATAATATTTTCAGCTTTAATGGAAATAAAGTTAATATAAATATTAGATGAAAAATGTAAACTTACAAAATTTTAACAAAATTTAAAATTATAAATGTTATAATTCTAAAATTACTAATAATTGAAAAAATAGTTTAGTTAAAAATACCTCAAATAAAATAAATCAAAGCTATACAGAAATATTTAGAAAATTAATAAAATGTCAAAAGCACATACAATTAAAATGAAAACTGAACATATAAAAATAAAAGCTAATTCAAAATATGAATAAATAAACATGTTCATATTAAATATGAATAAATAATACTAAAGTAACACTGACTTTTATAGATATGAAGTATTGATTAGTAAATTAACAATGTTATTTTTAGCCAAGTATTCTTAAACACATGCTGGTCTTGTAGGACATAGGAGTTATTTTATTAGCATTTGAGTGGGAGTGTTGTGATGAAATGCAGACCGTTTAACAGTTTTAAACCGGTTAATACTTGTCATTGTTCCCAGCGGTTGTCTGGAGACTGTGAGGATCAGATTCGAGTGATTCTTCAGGAGTCAGCGCTCGACTACCGGCTCGATCCGCAGCTCCAGGTTCACTGCAGTAATGAGGTGAGTGGACACACGGGCTCTGAGCGTCTTTATGTGTACTGTCTGCAGAGGTCACTGCAGCATCTGAATCTAAATGAAAACACACCAGTGACTGATTTAAAGCACTCTTCGTGGGTAGTTTATTCTATTTAAATATTCATATTTTTCATTGCTGAATTAAATATAATGGACATTTCCTTTGATTCTATCTGTCAGCTCATTGCAGTGCATTTTGGGATTGGCACTATCTGCTAAGGATACATCTGATTTGAACATTGAACTTGAAATCTGTTTAATTTTGCTGCCTACTGTTTTAATGATGCCTCAAATGCTGTCTAGATACAGAGCTTGCGAGTGTTTGGAACGGAGCCCATGGCCTTCAACACACAGCATCTTTATGAGATCTAACAGTCTGTTTAAACACGTCAGGACACTCATTTGGAGCTGTACAGAGAGAGAGAGAGGGGGCGTCTGAGAATCGCTTTAAAAGATCATCCAAACAATGTTGAAAAGAACTGATATTTTTTTTCTCTGTTCCTAAAGAGATTCTCTGAGTGAGAAAGAAATGTCCAACTGCCTCATGAATGACTAATCTACAGTAATATTTCAGTCCTGTTTCTGAGGGGTTGGAAGGAATTCATCTATAATGTCACAGGATGGGAACTAGATTTCCAATTCAAAATAGTCATGTTTAGCATCAGATATTTTTATCAATATAGTTGGGTCAGATTTTTGAAAAAGTCTCTTATGCTTATTGAGGCTGCATTTATTTGATCAAAATACAGTAAAAATAGTAATATTGTGAAATATTATTACAATTTAAAACAACTGTTTTTGGTTATAATACATGTTAAAATGTCATTTATTCCTGTGATGCAAAGCTGAATTTTCATCATCATAACTCCAGTCTTCAGTGTCACGTGATCCTATTCTAATATGCTGATTTGCTGCTCAGGAAGCATTTATTATTAGTAGTATTATTATTATCAGTGTTAAAACATTTGTGCTGCATAATATTTTTTGTGTAAACAATACTTTTTTTCTAAATTCTAAAAAAAACTATTTTAAATGTAATTTGTGAAACATTATACTTTACTGTCACTTTTAATTTAACATGTTTTAGCTGAATAATTGTATATTTTTATTTATTTTTTTTGGTTATGTACTATTGGGTACAAATAGTTTTTATTTATTCATTAATTGGACATTTAATTGAATATTAATTTAATTAGTTGAAATCGGTCCTTGTGTCTATGGTACAGGAAACTGCAGAATGACAGTACCTTATTAGGATTGTATGTGAAAATGACAGTCCAAATTAGTTATTATGTGACGAGAATAAGCTCTTACCAATGCATTAGGCTTAGATGTCTTATTGTTATTAATGAATGATTTTTCAAGCTGTTGTAGAGAGTGTTGCAGAATTATATGGCTTGTTTGTAATGCTATAAGACAGGAACAGGGAAGAAACCCTCCTCCTGCAGCCCGTCTGAGGAAAGCCCTTTATTTATGATCTCCATGAGCCATAGGCTCTCAGAGAGCAATCAAGCAGAAATGGTGTGAAATGAGTCTCTTAATTGGGTCAGAAAAGAAAATTGACTTTGATCTCTGGGTTATATTCTGCTGACGGGAGGCCACATGAACACAGACAAAGACAAGGCAGACTTTTTAAAAAGAAAATGGAGATTTTATACCTTTAGTCACTTCGTAACATGTCTGTTTGTGTGTGTGTGTGTTAGATCCCGCGGCTGTGTGCAGAGGAAGCTGCCGCACAGGAACAGACGGGTCAAGTGGAGGAGTGTCTGAAGAACAACCTTCTGAAAATTAAACCGGAGGAGTGCAAGATGGTACAGAACACATCCTCAGACATGCTTCATCTGCTACACGCTGCTTTCCTCTGCATCTGTTGCTATGGAAACACCATCAGTGTTTTTAAACCCACATCTGCTTTTCTGATGAGAGGAGATTCCCACACTAGACACATGGGAGGTTGCATGGTTGCTTCTGTCACCAGAACAAATTCCTTGTATGTGCAAACATACTTGGCAATAAAGCTCTTTCATATTAGAATGATTTCTGAAGGATCATGTGACACTGAAAACTGGAGGAATGATGCTGAAAATTCGGCTTTGCATCACAGGAATAAATTACATTTTACAATATATTCAAATAGAAAACTTTTTTTAAAATGGTAATTATATTTCACAATATGACTGTTTTTGCTGTATTTTTGATCAAATAAATGCAGTTTTGGTGATTATTTCAAAATCATTAAAAAAAATCGTACTGCCTTTTGAACTGTAGTGTAATTTTTTAAACGTCCAATTAAACAAAACAATCATCATTTAGTTTTTCACAATACTTTCCTTCATCCTCTCTTAAAAAGTTACGTCTATTTTGCTGCTGTCTCTTTAAGAAACACCATCGCATGTGAAATAAGCAACAGTCCACTCACACACGGCTATATTAATTTGACATGTACAGGTTTAGTGCCCACATTTCGCTCTTTCATTTCATCCTCTTCTCCACGTGTAGGAGGTGTTGAACATGCTCAAAGAAAGCAAAGCAGATATATTCGTGGATCCTGTCTTGCACACAGCCTGTGCTCTGGATTTGAAACACCACTGTGCAGCCATCAACCCTGGAAGAGGCAGACGTGAGGGATTTTATTTTATTTATTTATTTTGCATATTACACAATTCATTCACACTTTTAAAGATGCTATGAGAACAAAACTGTCAATTTTCTTTTTTTATGAAATATCTTGCTCCACATAGCTGCATATTAAACCTCAAATATCTTATGATTGTCTCTTCTTACATTATTTCTCACTGAATGTTAATGCATTGTAAATACCATTTTGTGTTGTTTAATTCATGATGCCCGGTTAAGATATCTGGGTTGAGGGTCTATTTGAGAGGCTAATGGAAAGTTATGGCACTGACAGATGGTGTGATTACGGAGGGTTTTTTTATTCTTCTTTTTATCTCTGTAATTTGGAGCTCCTGACTCCCTCTGTTTGAAATTCTTTCCCAGAAATGTCCTGTTTGATGGAATCTCTGCAGGACAAGCAGGTGCGTCTACAGCCTGAATGTAAGAGAAGATTACAGGACCGCATAGACATGTGGAGCTATGCAGCGAAGGTCAGTGCAAACAAACACATTGAACAAACTGTCCAGATGGACAGCTAAATATATATATTTACTACATACAAGCCAAACCTCTAGCTGTAAAAGATGCCTTTTTTGCATTAAAATTGTTATTATTATTATTAATTTTATTATTAAAGTAACAAAAATTGTTATATTAAAAATAAAGTTGTCTTCTAAAGTTGTCTAATAATAATAATAATTCAATAAGAAGAAAAATAAGAAATTATAGTAAAATAAATTGTTATTATTATTAACATTTAGACATTGTTATTATTTATTTTATTATTATTATTATTAACATTAGTATTATGCATCTCTATAATAAATGTATATAAATACATTATTATTATTATTAACGCAATAATAGCAAAAATAAATTATTCTTTATTCATATTATTTAATATTATTAATCTAATTTAATATTAATAAGATGAAAAATAATTATATTAAATTACTATTATTTAATATTATTAATAATACTATTATTATTACAGTTTAGACATATTTTATTATTATTTAAAAAATATTAGCATAATTATTACTATTATAAATAATTTAATAAGAAGAAATTATTATATTAAAATAAATTTTTATTATTACTATATATATATATATATATATATACACACACACACACACATATATATTTTTTATAAATTATTTGTATTATTAAAAATGTTATACTTGAACAACATTCATAAATATTAATGTTATGTTAGGTTTAGCCAAATTCTAGGGACAAATGAGTTCTAGTATGTGACTTGATTTCTTAGGTGGCACCAGCTGAAGGTTTCTCGGACCTCGCTGTGCAAGTCATGACGTCACCTTCGAAGAACTACATCCTGTTAATTATTGCGCTGGCCGTGTCCCTCCTCTTCCTCGTGGGGCTGCTGTGTGGCCGCATCACCAAACGTGTGACCAGAGAGCTGAAAGACAGGTAGAGCGAGGATCATTTCCATACTTATACCTGAGAAGACTTTTGGAGCTGCAGTGGACCTTCTGTGGGCCGGTGCCATGTTAGGAGCCCTCTCTAGCCCACCCTGCCACTGAATCCCACCTCAATCCAAACATACAACCTTTGAAATGCTTCTCAGACAGGATCAAGATCGTTTTGGGACTTTATGCTTTGAGTATATGTTTTTTGTTTTTATTTTGAGAGTGACAGCCTTACTTCTTGACTGTAATATGGTCATGTGTCAATGCAGTATTTTTAGCGTTGTGTCTTTTTCAATTTTTCGAGAATGACGGGGCTTTAATCAGCAGCTTACATGAAAACAAGCCATCTTTATATTTTGTTTTTCACTTCAGTTTTTTCTGTAATCTTTAAATCACAAGGTGGAATTCACTTTGGGTGGGATTCCTTTCTGGGTGTCTCCTAAATGTTTTGGCACTGGGGAGGGAAGGTAGTTTTTCTAGTCCAGTATGATGATCCTGACACATGAAATGCTGGTTTTTATCAGTCAAGACAAAGACATTACATTTATGAGACATTAGACATCAAGTGGTAAACTTGCAAAGATTGACATTTTAATAGACCTTTACCTTTGCTAGAATGTTTGACGTTCATGATGGTTTGGTTATCAAGGGCAAAGCCAAACTTTAGAATAGTAAACACAGCATTGAGTGAATCTCATGAAAACATGTCCAGGCCCTATATATATAGAGAGAGAGAGATGAATTTTTCATGACGTCTGCACATTTCACTTTTGACTTATTTTATAATTCCCATTATTAACACTTAGTTTTTTACTGTTTTATGTTGTTTTGATTTATTTAAATCAGTAAAGGAAGTAAGACAAATACAACAAAAGAAAATAATGTCACAAAGTCATAAAATACTTAATTTAGCAAAGTTTATTTTTATTTTGCTGGGAAATATGACAAACATGGTCTTGGACTGGTTTTGTGAGAGTCCTCTACTGATAGTTTGAGTCTGGTCTGAAGAATTATAAACATCTGGTTTGCACATTTATAATGGATTAGGCATTAAATGGTTAATATAAGAAGAGTACGAAATTCAAATAGACCTGTACCTCTGTCAGAAGGTTTAATGTGAAAGATGGTTTGATTGTCCAGGGTCAAGTTTCCTGCGGACCAACGTTGTAAGAGTGAACGTGACTGTATGTCCATAGGATGATTGCACTTTTTTGATGTTTTGTTATGTTTGGCTTAAGCCTTATTTATTGTTTACAACACATGTGCTGATCTTGGTTGTGTGTGTTTGTGAGTGTGTGAGTGTGAGTGTGTGTGAGAGTGTGTGAGTGTGAGTGTGAGTGTGAGTGTGTGAGTGTGAGTGTGTGTGTGTATGAGTCAATAGAACTAAATATGTTTTAGAACTTATTTCATAACTATGTTCTAATGTTGCCTTTTCTCTTTCTCTGTCATACCAGTGAAAAGAAACATTTATTAGTCCCCTTGGATGGTGCCTCTGTATTTTTTTCAAAGCTGTACCCACAGACATCTCTGACCTTTTCTGTATGAAAAGGAATTACATACTTGATTTTTTTTATTTGTTACTTAGTTACTCTAACTATAACTGTGATGATTATATGCATAACTTTTGCTGAAGACATAAGGTTTTTCTAAAGGCCATGCATTACTTTGGACACAACTAACAAAATGTAATTGGGTGATTCTCATGAAATCATGTTCAAGTCACATTTTACCCCAAAATCAAAAGAAAAAGAAAAAGAAATAATTACAGTATGTTTATTGTTAAACCAGTATTAAAATGTGCTTAATTGTCATGAAAATAATATTAAATTATATATATATATATATATATATATATAATTAAATTTTTTTTTTTTTTTATATATAAAGAAGAATCAAAATTTCCCTCCAAATTAAATGGGTTTCGTGGGATTCACCTTTTCATTTTCTTATATTTTCTTGACAGGAGCTGTACCACTATAGAGAAGGTTTCTATGGCTTCAGTTTTGTAAATCCATGCACATTTTTATATCATGTCTCTCTCAAAGTGTGTGCAAAGCTCTATGAAACCAATTTGTCCACTGTCCTTGTATTAAATGGATAGTTCACCCAGAAATGAAAAATCTGTCGTCATTTACTCACCCTCATGTTCCAAACCCATATGCATTTATTTCTTCTGCTGAACACAGGATTTTGAAGACGGTTTCAGTTCCTGTTGACGTATTGCATTTTTGTCAATGGGTACCAAAACGGATTAGTTGCCAGAATTCTTCAAAAAAAATCTTCTTTCGTGTTTCACAGAAAGTCAGACAGGTTTGGTACAACACGAGTGTGAGTAAATGAAAGAATTTTCATTTCTGAGTGCACTATCCCTTTAATAGATTCAAAATGATCTCAGACTCAACAGATTTGTACATGTGAATATTTTGCTTCAGAGCACTGCACTGCACTGCACTGCTTACCTCTAGCATTGATGATCTCAATGTTATTCTGTAAATAATAGATCTAATGTGCAAATCACAGACAGTGTCCGAGATTTCTGGATGATTGAAATTTGGACTGTAAAATTCTACTGATCATATGATCATGTTTGACTATGTATTGTAGATAAGTAAATGTTAAAAGTTATGTTATTCCAACAATATTTCTCCTAATTCATGTTTTTTGAGACTGATCATGATGGTCTGTTTTGGTTGACTGGTTCTAGGTTGTTTCTTTACTATTTTACATATAACTGGTTTATAGTGGGTTTTTATCACATTGGATGTCATTGGACTGTAAAAAAAAATCATAAAGCTGACAGTGATGGGTCATTGATCACTCTTTACTTTTAAAACTCAAAGTGAACCCTTGTTCTGTTCGATGATCTGGACTCTGTATAGTGTGGAAATCAAGTGATCCTTAAGCGATTTCGGAGGAGGTGCATGGAATATCAAGTCTTTCCGACTCTTACAACTAGTATGCTTGCTTTCGCTTTTAAGAAAAAAAATGTTTTTGCTTGGACAATTAGTTTTATTAATTTAATTAATTTTTTTTCACAGAAAATTTAGGATTCAGACAAAAAAAAAAATTCTTTGTGTGTTGTTTTGAGGAGACCCATTTGGAAAGCATCTTTTGAAGCCACCGCAAAAGCAAAACAATTTCCCAACAGTCATAGTGCAGTGCCAAAGATGATCCAGCTTTGTTTAAAATGGCCTTTCTCTGCTCCTCTGGAAGACCCATCCAACTGTGAGCGGCTCCAACATCTGCTGGACGGCAGGTTGTCATGTTTCCTATTAACTGCAAATTGACTAAACATATGAAGCGTTATGGCTGATATTTTCTCAGTTTCTTCATTTTTCCATGTAAGATTAATGTGACAAATCAGACTTTTTGTTGGTTTCATCAGTTTAATAAAACGCTGTAGATTTTCTTACCATTGTGTTCTGTCTCCAGTTTTGTTTTATTCATACATACAGTATGTGACTCGGAAAACATGATTCTTTCTGACTGTCCTTGTATTTTTAATTGCTCATTTTATTTGCATTAAATTCAGAGTCCAGAAATGTCAGGAAAGTTTTTGAGAACAAACTTCTAAAGCAAATCAAAGGGAAATTTTGCTGAAAATGTACTTGCCCTCAGATCATCCAAGATGATGTTTTTCATTGGAACAGATTTTGAGACATTTAGCATTCCATCACTTGCTCACCAATGGATCCTCTGCAGTGAATGGGTGCCGTAAGAACGAGAGTCCAAACAGCTGATAAAAACATCACAATAATCCACAAGTAATCCAGCAGTTAACATCCTGTGAAGTTTTTGTAAGAAACAATTCCATTAAAGGGGTCATATGATGCGATTTCAATTTTTCCTTTCTCTTTGAAGTGTTACAAGCTCTTGGTGCATAAAGAAGATCTGTAAAGTTGCAAAGACTAAAGTCTCAAATCCAAAGAGATATTCTTTATAAAAGTTAAGAGTCAGCCACGCCTACCTAAAACGGCTCGTTCTAACACGCCCCCACATGTCTACGTCACGATGTGGGAAGATTTGCATAACGCCGCCCAAATGTTCACGCAAAGAAAGAAGGCATAACTTTTATTCTCGCTGTAGTATTGTTGACGCTGCAGCCATGTCGTGAAGGCGCTGTGTGCTTCGCTGTGAAAGCGAAACTACTTTGTTTGGTCTTCCAAAAGAGGATGATATCTGCTTCGTCATGCCTGGAGCTGATCTGTGCTGGTCGCTGAGGAAATACATCAACTTTCACCGTGTTTTAACTTTAAACCATTACTTCTAGCCAAAATACACGTCCTTAATCTATAATAGCGCTTCTTCCAGTGAAAAAAAGTCCATCCTCTGTTGTCTTCTCACATTGAAATCTAGATTTTTGGACTGTTTTGGGTTGTAAAAGCTGCTTGATCTGTGCATATTTCACTTCTGATTCAAATGAGATGACCTTTTCACTGAAGAAAGCAATATTATAGATAGAGGACTCATATTTTAGCTGAAAGCAACGGTTTGAAATTAAAAACGTCTTAACGATGAGTTTGTATATTACAAACATGCAGCTTTTTCGCTTCACAAGATGTTAACTGCTGGATTGGAGTGGTGTGGATTGCTTGTGGATTATTCTGATGTTTTTATCAGCTGTTTGGACTCTCATTCTGACGGCACCCATTCACTGCAGAGCATCCATTGGTGAGCAAGTGATGTAATGCTACATTTTGTCCTAATTTGTTCCCATGAAGAAACAAACTCATCTACAACTTTGATGACCTGAGGGTGAGCTTTTCTCCTTATATCAACATGTCATAAATGTCGCCTATTTAAAAGAAGACATTATTACTTGCCTTGTTTCGCCTTGATTACTGCAACGCTCTTTTTTCCGGATTACCAGTAGGCTCCATCTCTCGATTGCAATATATTCAAAATTCTGCAGCGAGAATGCTAACTTACACTAAACGGTCTGCACATATCACTCCTATTCTGTTCAACCTCCACTGGCTACCTGTGTCCTCTCGTATAATTTATCAAATTCTTCTGCTTACCTTTAAGTCACTCCATGGTCTTGCACCTACCTATCGCTCTGACCTGCTTTCTCCATATATTCCCTCTCGTCCACTTCGATCATCTGGAGTCGCCTATTATCTATGGGAGGTAGATCGCTCCATCTCTCGATTGCAATATATTCAAAATTCTGCAGCGAGAATGCTAACTTACACTAAACGGTCTGCAGAGATGTCCTCTGGAAGATCAGCAGTAGGCTACAGTCTTAAAAATACAGCCTGCAGAAAGTTAAAAAAAACATGACATTTTAGTTCATAAGATGATCTATTTCAACTTCTTAAAAAAGAGCTTTTTTTGACCTGCTTTCTCCATATATTCCCTCTCGTCCACTTCGATCATCTGGAGTCGCCTATTATCTATGGGAGGTAGATCTTTCTCTGTTATGGCTCCCAAACTTTGGAACACATTGCTCCTGGCTCTCCGGACAATAACCACACTCCACGAATTTAAGTCTAAACTCAAAACCTATATGTTCCACCAATATTACCTGTTATAATGTCATGTTAATGTTACCTGTTATAATGTGTTTTTTTTGGTACTTTTGATTATGATACTGTATTATTACTGTGGTATGCAACTGCAACCACATGTTCTGGACTTGGAAAATGTCTTGTCCATTTTCTTATTATTATTAGAAAAGAACATTTGCGTTGATATTTGGTATGCGTCTCTGGTCCACCTAAAAGAACAAATTAATCACAGATGAGAAGTTTAGGATGTCTCATTAGAGTCAATGGAGGCAGACACTGCAGAGATGTCCTCTGGAAGATCAGCAGTAGGCTACAGTCTTAAAAATACAGCCTGCAGAAAGTTAAAAAAAACATGACATTTTAGTTCATAAGATGATCTATTTCTACTTCTTAAAAAAGAGCTTTTTTTACTAAATGAATCCAGTTTGAATCCAACTGAACACACATGATGAATACAACTGTACGAGGTCTATGATTGCTGTCACTTGGGCTGCTGCCATCAATTATTATGATAATGAAATATTATGCATAAAATAATGAGGCACTTGTCTTAGTCAAAGCCAGTCTTCCTCTGCATTAAGAGGCTTATGTAACCCAGGAGGACCTGGATAATGAGAGTCCCAGTACTCAAAATGGCATAACATGAATATGAGAATGTCTTAGTATGTGGTTTTCTCCTGTCTTAATGGCTGCAGCACTGGAGCTGCATGAACAAACCCTGATGATCATGTTCTCCAGCAAGAACATCTGATTATCTGTACAAAAAGTCATATGATCAATCCTTATTTGATTAGTGACCTGGAAATAGAGCATAATCTGAAATGTATATTTTGATTTAGGCTACTAGTTTACGTCACAGACTGTTTCTTTGTTTTTAAATGTTTAAAAATTTTGAATTCCAGACTTTTGGAGCGCGCAAATCTATGGTGTTATACTTATTCAGTCTTTTAAACGATCTAAAACATTTTTCGACATACACATCGTCGTAATTGCCTTGAAAGCCTTCAAGCCTACACACGTGTGAAGTCGATGATCAACCAAGTGTTGCTTTTACTCCCACCGAGTGGTGTTTGGATTGAAATGCTTTTATAAATGTGGCCAAGGTTTGTGATGGGCCAAGGGGCAAAGATTAATGACATCAATCCAGAATGGCTTAGATATAAATAACTGCTGGACAGCCATAAACGTCAACTAATTTATTACCCACTAGTCAACTGTCACCCATCCATCCATC